GAGTTGTCTATGAGTGTGGAAGGAGGCGGGTGGTGGAAAGAGACATGATATTACACAGTAGGAAGGCAGTCTATATTATCTAAAATGGAAAAATTGAGGGGCCAGCCGAGTGGTGCAAGTGGTTAAGTGCGCATGCTCTGCTGCCACCGCCCGAGGTTCGCCAGTTCGGATCCAGGGCACGCACTGCTTGGCAAGCCATGCTGTGGCAGCGGCCCATATAAAGTGGAGGAAGATGGGCACGGATGTTACCCAGGGCCAGCCTTCCTCAGCAAAAAAAAGGAAGATGGGCACGGATGTTAGCCCTGGGCCAGTCTTCCTCAGCAAAAAAAGAGGAGGATTGGCAGATGTTAGCACAGGGCTGATCTCCTCCCCCCAAAAAAAAAAAAATTGCTGTGGACACTATGTCCACTTCATGGTTTTCAAAAAATATTCTATATAAAATTTAAAATATAAATTAAAAACAAGCAATTTTGAATTGGCTTTTTGGTTGCTGTTTTGTGTTTCCTCTATTATGATACTGGTCTGAGACCAACCACACAGATCAGGGTCTTAAAAAGGCAGGCTTTCAAAGCCAAGAGCTTCTGAGCCTCTGTCTTAGAGCCCAGAGCTCCAGCTCCAGCCCAAGCTGATGGCTGGGTCGGGATGGTGTTTGCAGGAGCAGAGCCAGAAAGGCCCCAATCAGAAGCCAGGCTCAGGTGCCTGTTGCCTCCACCCACTAGAAAACCCAAGTAGGCTTGCATTGCCCCCAGAAAGCAGCAGCCTTGATCCCGGGTCTGAGTTCTGGTCCTGGTTATTACCACCAACAAACCACATCAGCCAAGGATGCCAAGATGGGAGTCACTGCCCTGCCCCAGGCATGCTGATTCTGTGGGAGAGTGAGGGCAGCCCACACCAACAGCAGAGAGACCTGAGAGAGCTGAAGGGGCTCAGCAAAGGGCCCCCTAACCCCTTCCAGGGATGGAGCATTTCTTGGCAGAGCCAGTATTCATAGGATAGAGGTTTGGAAAGTGGAGGCAGGGGAGGCTGAGGACATAACAGGGGGGAGAGCACAGCGGTAGATGAATGCAGAGCATGCTTTGAAGCATGGAGATCCCCAAAGGCGAGGACCTTGAGAGTCAGACTCCAGGCTGTAAACCCTAGCCAGGCCATAGGGGACATACATATCCCAAAAGACCCGCTGAGCGCAGGTGGAGTGAATACCTACGACCCGCTTTGGTCCAGGTGGCTAGCCAGGAGGTCCTAGACTATGCGGGGTCGTGGGAGAAATGGAAAGAAAGGAGGCAAAAACGGGAGAAAAGAGCCCAAGGTGGGAGTCAAAGAGCTGGGTGAGTTTAGAAAAGAGGTTCTGGAGAGTTGGTCAAGTGGTGCATTCCCATCCGAACCGTACTCAGAGGGACAGGCACAGGGGCACGAGCCCCAAGCAGGCCGTCTGTTTTCTTGGCCAAGCTTGAAAGGAAAGGAGACGGCCGTCTGGAGCCTCCCCACCGAGGGGGTTGTCGGCGCCCCCAGGGTCCCGGGCCCGCGCACCGCGAATGCTGAGGACGCGCCAGGCCGGGCCGCGCTGGGAACGGGCGGGCGAGCGCCGAGATCTCCCTTCCTCCCCTTACGCTCCCGCTTCTCCGGCCCGAAGCAAGAGGCTTGTGCCTGGCGAGGGAATGGGTGTCCACCCTCTGGGCCCGGGGCTGCAGGCGAGCGGACACTACGAAGGGGCATGCGGCTCCCGGGGCAGCGCCGCCGCTCGGCGCTCCCGCCCCCCGTGGCCGGACGTGGCGCCTCCCCCGCGGCGGCCGGAGCCTGGAGGTG